ACTAACACGAAGGACATTACTACGTAATTAGAAATGCGACTGACTTTTGTTCCGTCCCCTGATATCTTCACTCTAAATTTAGATGGCTTGTTTTCTTGTGGTATGGATTGAATAAAATTTCGGATGGCGATTATTAACTCGTCTCTGAAACAAACGAATGCTCCAGGAACATTACCTGGTGTACGCTCAAGATGAATTTTTTCACTCAGTTTGTCACGAAAATTCTTTACTAAATAAAATTTTGGGAGATCATTTGTCCTAACAGCCATTTCATGATAAGCCTGATCACCAATTGCAAACTTGTCTAACAAGAAGATAATCTCTTTCATTCTTAATACATCTTGTTCTAAATGCTGGTCAGATTCATCTAGTTGTAATTTAGTAGTTTCTCCTGTCTTTGATTGAAAAGTTACAGATTTAGGTGTAAGTCCGTATGATTCGGCAAACCAAAGTGCTTTCTCTGTCACCGACTTTATAGATGTTAATCTAACGTACCGTTGTGATTTTTCAAGTTCATCAACTGTTTTTCCGTTGTTTCTTGTAATGTTATGTTGTTCGATAATATTCTTTATCTTCTGCAGGTCTTCATTTTCCTGACGTAGTACATTAGCTTCGTCTTGCAATAAAATAAATTTCTTCTCTGTTCTGGATTTAATTTTCATCTCTTGACACAGTTCGTTGTATAAGTGTTTGCACCTAGCGACCAGTTCAACATTACTCGCTTCAAATTTGGAAATTTTAATTGAGAGTTCTAAAACATTCTCAAGTTCAGTTTCATATATAGCAATTTTAGAGCTACCCGTGTCAAGATTTACTCGTTTATTACCAGATCGGTGAGTAGTTCTGTATTTCTGAGAAACGCGACAACAAATGTTTTTTAGTCTTTCTTCAAGCCTATCAGTCCTTTTCAGCTGGAAAATGTGAATTTGCGTATTCAATATATCTACATATGAAAAGTTAAACTTTTGATTAGCTTTATGGAGTTCCGAGATGAACGGATTGTTCAGTTCAACTGTAAGCGCAACTTTTCCTCTATGAAGAAAATCTTGATGAAGACTCGGTGAAAGTTCTGTTGATGAAAATTTGGCAATATGGTTATCAAATTTATCTTTGCAGTAATTAGAAAAATTGTCCGACATTTTGAGGGCCAAATAATACTTAACTTTTGTCGAAAGTGGAATTTACATTTAGTTAAAGTTTATCTAAATTGCACACTTCAGTTGCGGAAAGCATGCGAACTGTCTCAAATGGTACGATCTTCTCTTGTAGTATGCCATTTGATTTGATGTATACTTTTTTATGTTGCAATTTTGGAATCAAAGTCAATGGAAAACTCAACTTAAGTCCTCTCCCCTTGTCGTTGATCCTATAATACCAGTTTTCTGACATTGGTAGCCTTTTCAAGTCTCCAACGCCTTTGACCAAAAGCTTCTCATCTGTCAGGAAACAATATCTGTATACGTCTAAATCAAAGCGTATCGCCGATTTATTTTCCTTACATCTCAATCGCTGCTGTACGGTATCTTCGAATTGTTTGGCGGCATATGACAGACGATCTGCAGATATTATAGGACTTTCATAGTTTTGTAAACTTTCCTCGTCTATGTGGCCAGTCGGCTCCCATGTACTATCACTTTCGGGAAAGCCTCGCCACTTTACAAGGTACAAGAATTCCTGAAAGAATAAATACAGAAAATTAAGTTGATACCAGCCATATATATACATATATATCATGTACTGTGTTACAACTCTACAATATATTATGTACTGTGTTACAACTCTACAATATATCATGTACTGTGTTACAACTCTACAATATATCATGTACTGTGTTACAACTTTAGATTCTATATAGAAACGGGTCTTTTATCTATACAGATTTTTATGGACCGGGATCGCTGAGTCAAATAATGCCCGAAGGTAGTGTTACAAGTTACTGCACTATGGATCGTAATGGGCCAGGGTCACTGAGACAACGAATGCTCGAAGCTAGAGTAATTTTACTGTACGACTACTTTCAAAGTCATATATATTATATATAAATTCCATGGTCGTGGTAGTACATTGTTCTATAAAGTTACATACAGATTAAATGATATTTTAAAATGGTCCCTTGTGAAATTGAATGTAGAACAGAAAGTCACAGGACAAAAAGTAACGGACAAAAAGTCACAAATCAGTTTTGAAATTATTTTTCTTTGAATAAGAACACATTTATTCAAAAAAAGTAGACTGGGAAAGTTACAGGATAAAAAATTACGGACAAAAAAGGTCACAGGACAAAGGTCACAAATCAGTGTTGAAATTATTTTTCTTTGAATCAGAAAACATTTTTGAGGTTTTCATGAATTATTATATATAAAGCAACTTTATAAACAAAATATATTAAAAAAAATCAATGATTTCCAAATAGGATCGAAATTTGAAAAATCTTCATTTATCAAGGCTTATGATAATTCCCTAAACTGCAAAATTAATATGTGTAATAAGAAGAAATTATTTCAAGAGATTTCTTTTTTTATGTTCAAACGTAGATAAACAAATCGTTTGTGACTTTTTGTCCTGTGACATTTTGTCCTATCAATGTTGTGACTTTCTGTACTGTGACTTTTTGTCCTCTGGCATTCTGTAAAATTACCGGAGAAATAAGCCCTTCCTTCATACTTAAAACAGTTACGACAACAGTTTTAACAATATTTTCGGTTTATTTTGCTTCAAAATTAGAAATATACGAAGCCGATGCCTTAACATAACTATTTAACACGTAGTACTTACATGTTTTTCAAACTTTCTTGCTTTAAGTCTTTCTATGTGGTATTCTTCAGGGAGGACTTCTCTTTTTTGTGCAATAGACTCTTTTCTTAAGCTTATAGCAATACTTTCACCATAACATAGTTCTTTCCAGTTGATGCTCTTTCGAGCTCGGAGATGGTGAGAATGCGCCATTTCAGAAGCAGATTCTATCTTCGTTATGACAATTAACTTGTATGTCTAAAAACGAAATCTCGGAAATGTCATATTTATTGACCCTTTCCTGTTTTTGACAAAATAATACAAGCTTCCAGCATCGTTTCCACCATATATCCACAGGTATATACCCCGAAGCTGACATGTTAATTGTCATATACAAGTACCTGATCAAAGCTAACAATCTTTATCATTTTGTGAAGAAATTATTGATTTTTGATTTAATATTGTTTCGATTCAATAAATTTTAATTGAGATGAAAAGCTGGTCATAAAATATTGACAAAGGGAATTTAATAAAGAGTAGATTTTTGTTAGTTTTTCATTGTATACACTTTTCGTTTTAATTATTTTTTTCATCAACAAGTTTCTTTTTGACGGCGAATGAATAATTTTAGTAATGAATGTATTTCAAAACTATTAAACGGGTCTTGAAAGGTGAAAACTTTCCAATTTATTGTGCGCACATATTATTATTCGTGTATATAGTTTCAAGAAATTAAATAACAGAAACTCGGTTTGATGTAAAATATTTTATTAAATTTCATTTTGCCTTATCAAGTGGTCAAATCCGAGGAGTATTCTAAATGTTGTTTTTATGCACTCTTAAAAGTGCGAAGAGATTGAATTGTTCTCCTATATGATTGTGTATTCGAATCGTGTTAAAATTGACTCAAAAAAGATTATCTAGGGATTGTCAAGAAAAAAAGCCAGTTGTCTCATTGACAATCATACAACGTCTTCTTTTTTGAAAAAAATAAATGTGAATAGAAACCATTTAATGCCATTGAAAAAATAAATATGATTGTGTATTGATAAAACATCCAGATGAATAAGCATTTATTTAATGCGTTTTAGATTTTGATTGCATTCTAATGATATATTTATTAAATTCGGTAATAACCACGTGAAAACAGAAACAAAAAATAACTTAAAATCTAATTATCTTCACTAGGATTTGTATAGTGAGATATACAAATCCTTGTCTTTAATCATAAAAAAACGTTATTTATAATTATATAGTGTTTTCCTATTCCTTCAACCCTAAATCAAGTTTATACAAAATGTCGTTTACACTATATTACATGACTCTGGGAATATAGTATGTCGCAGCATGACTGTATAAACACGATTGCATAACAATTTATTATCTGTTTACACACACGATGTATCCTGTTGTCAAATAGAAATTGATAGAAAAAAAAACCAAAAATCGCCTACTTTTAAATCAAATTTGGAGCAAGAAGAAAATAACCAATTTGAAAATAAACTACACCACATTAAACTTTAATTTTTCATCTTTTTCTTGGTCGCAGCAGCTAAGGTATATCATCAGTAAAAGTATTTTATTTATTTTTTCAAAGCTGACCACTCTTCCGAATAATGACATTTTCCTGTAAGAATAACGGCAAAAGTAAGCCATTTGACATAACTGTAAAAAATCAAAATTTGTAGCAAGAAGTTCAAACTTTATTTTAAAATAATTTATATCATTAAAGAGAAGACAAATTAAGGATTCTGGGGGTCGAAGCAGCTAAGAAAACCACTGAGAAGAAAATTGAATATCGTCTTGTAAAGATTATTTTCCATATACTTCTATGTAACAATTTTATCCATGTAGGGTATCTGAATTCACGCATGCGCAATATCGACCGGACTGATTCTTGACAATGACGACGACGACGACGCCGACGCCAACGTCATACTAATATACGACCACAAAAAAAATTTTGCGGTCGTATAAAAAAAGGCAGGACCGAATAGAGTGAAAAATAAACAGGCAGGACAGAGTTTACAACTAAAAAAAAAATGCAGGACAAAATTTTTCATCCTAGCCCCCCATAAAAATCAAAGAGCTACGTATTCGCAGCTAGGCCAAGTCAAGCCAGTGCGGGTGCGGTTCCCTTGCGTAATTATCAGATAAAGAGGACATGACATTTCGATTTCTGTATTAAAAGAACTAAAATATAACGTTTTCCATTGTAATACACACTTAAATTTGGTATAAAATTACAAATAAATGCATGACATTACCTTAAATTATTTCCTCTAGCTCTGACACCGGCTAAAAACGAGAGAATGGAGTAGAAAAACAGTTTCTGGTAAGCTGTTTAATTTCCGGTTTTGTGAACTAGGTCAAGTGGTAAGCAAGTCATTTCGTACCTTGACTATTTCGTACCTCTGCCATTTCGTACCCAACATTTACCATTTCGTACCCACGATAAAAACCCTATGGCATGGACAACATACATGTTTACTATTTCGTATCAAATCAAATCAAATCAAATAATTTTATTCCTAATTAAAGGGCCATTAAAGGCATATCAATTAAGGTTCCACTAAAGTCAAAATATAGGACACTTCATAAACATCTAAACTTTGCCTGTATTTTTCAACCTATAATGAGTAAAGTCCTAAACTATGAGAACATATGTTCATTTAAACATACTCAACATATACACACTGTGTAAATTGTAAATAAACTTGAAATTGTTATGCTGTGGCCAAACCGGTTCTTGAGGTGAACACTAAATTTTCAAAAAAATCTGGAGGCCTGCGAGACGACTTAATTTGCTTAAAATTGGTATAGACGAACACTGTTACATGTAATGCAGGGCAAGCTCATGTTGATTTGTTACATACATATGTTTTAATGGCATATTTGTCCAATTTCTGTATTGTACCTTCGATATTTGTTCACCTAGATACATGAAATTAACTGAAACTCGAAAATCAATACATTTTCTGAAAAATCACCATGAGCTTGCCCTGCATTAGATATAACAGTATTCGTTCATACCAATTTTAAACAAATTAAGTCGTCTCACAGGCCTCCAGATTTTTTTGAAAATTTAGTGTTTACCCCAAGAACCGGTTTGGCCACAACATAACAATTTCAAGTTTATTTACAATTTACACAGTGTGTATATGTTAAGTATCTTTAAATGAACATATGTTCTCATAGTTTATGACTTTACTCATTATAGGTTGAAAAATACAGGCAAAGTTTAGATGTTTATGAAGTGTCCTATATTTTGACTTTTAAGTGGAACCTTAAAAAGACAAACATGTATACATTCATTTGAGACAAAAGATCACAAAAACATTCATTAAACATTATTTTATGATTTGTATAACATTTACAGAGAAAAACAATTGGCTGAAAGAGAGATAACTCCAATCTATATAATCTCACTAAAAACCTGCAGATTTGGTAAATTTATTTTTCAATTTTTAGTTTTCTAGTTTCAAAACTTATATTCAGTTGTTTGCATAAAGATATTATAAAGCTTTTGTTGTCATTTGATATAATCCAAATGAATAAATTCTCAAATTTGGATATTTAATAAAATTATAAATAGACTATATAGTAAAACTTTTCTTGATGCTGCATATAAAGGACATTCCAATACAACATGGATCTCATCCTCAATTATTACATTCAAATTGCAATAACTACAAAGTCTTTCACATCTTGGAATATATTCCAATTTACCTGAAGAGAACGTTGAACCTGCGTTCATGGCGACCAGTTTCAATTCTTAATTTATTACTCAATCTCAATTTTGTGAGAATTTTCCCATCATCAGTGTGTGTAAAGGATAAATAGTTTTCTCTATTTGAATTTAAAATGTGTACTTAATTTGCCTTTATCATGTAAATGAGAAGACCTTTCTTCCTTCCAGGTCTCTAGGAAGCTTTTTTGGGACAGATTTTAAGTAATTTCTTAAATTTGTGTTTACTCCAGTTTTTACAAATGGTCACACCAATGCTTAATTTTTCACCTTAAAAAAGTAGGTTTGTGAACCAAGAGTTCTGGCCTTTGTTTATGCTGTGCAAATGAATATATTCCTTGTATGAATTGTTGAGGAAGTTTGATGGTGAATTTTCTAGTCTGTGCCAATACATGAAAATTTGTTTTAACATGTCTATATAAAGAGGATGTCTTCCAAGTACTGTTATAACTCCTATATTTGTACATAATTGGTCTCACAGTCCTTGAATATATCAAAAAGCAGTGGCGGATCCAGAGGGGGGAAGGGGGGGGGGGGGGGGGGGGGGTCCGGGGGTTGGAACCTTTATCCTGGGTTGGGACCCTTTTAAAAATGGCTGGATCCGCCCCTGAAAAGAGTTAATGATTTTCTCTTTTGAGTAATATTAATAACACCCCTAATTCTCACAACCGTATAGAATAATAGGTTTTAAACAATTATCAAATAAATGTAGGGATATGTTCAGTCTGCTCGGGCTTGAGGATTTCAAGTGTCTATACAGCTTAAAACAGGCTTTCAATCCATCTATTTGTAAAAGTTCACATTTTTTTAAGATATAAAACATTTTGAGATGATTTTAATTTTTTGTAAATATAACATAAATAAAATGCATCCTGCCGTAGAACTTGTATAAAGACCGATGATTGGTTTGCATCCTGCCGTAGAACTTGTATAAAGACCGATGATTGGTTTGCATCCTGCCGTAGAACTTGTATAAAGACCGATGATTGGTTTGCATCCTGCCGTAGAACTTGTATAAAGACCGATGATTGGTTTGATCATAGATATGGCTATTATATCTATGGTTTGATTAAACAACACTTGGAAACTTTATAGTTTTAATTACACGTTGTTTGTTTTGAGTATTTATCCTTAATTAATTTTTCAACTCTAAAAATAAGACGTTAATTAATTAACAAAGAAATGATAAGCTGCAACTGTTTTTACAGTTATTAACAGTAACTGTTGTTTTTGTCAGGAAATGCAGTGAAAAGGGACATAAGCTGATATTCACCAAGAAGGAAGCCATGAATAAAAATGTATGCATAAGAATTTGCACCTTTTGTGACCAATCAAAGAACTTGCTATATATATATGGCTAATTTGAGAAATTACAATATAAATAAGAAGATGTGGTATGAGTGCCAATGAGACAACTCTCCATCCAAGTCACAATGTATAAAAAGACAATTAGTTAAACATGTCATGGAGCTGTGCTCACTCTCATAATGTCTGACGATGGTCGTGAATCACACCAACAACAGCCCATATTATCCGCCGATATACTTAATACCATTTTACATATACAATAACATCAAACCGCCGACTGGGTTTTATCTGCTCGGAACGGAAACTATAAGCTGACAGTAAAATGGACACCTGCGAGGTTAGAGGAAAGAGAGGGGTCAACTTTACCACCTAAAAAGAGGTCATCAAAGTCCCTTTCTGAAAGGGACAACCGCAGATTAAGGGCATTCTTGGCCAAGAAGTCAGAGTCAACAACAGAGATTGGAACCCCCGCTCTGAACATTGACAACGACATTACAGAAACTGATGAGATAGGCATTACCGCTCAATCCACAGACACAGTGTCGGCAACGGACTCACCGGCTGAGTTAGATTCTAAGAAAGATGAAGCGCCTCTACCACCAACAGCCTCGCCGGCTGAGTTAGATTCTAAGAAAGATGAAGCGCCTCTACCACCAACAGCCTCATCATCGTCATGCAAAAGGTCCCGCTTGCTCTGCAGGTGCCGAGGGTCAATCGACAACCAGCAGAGAAGGAAAGGAACACCGCAAACGCAAAAACGGGGGGGGGGGGGGGGGGGGGGGGGGGTAAAAAATACAAAAAGTCACACTAGACCTTCCACAAGAGACTTACTTATTTGAAGTGGAAGGAGAAACAACGATACTATTAGCCAATTGTGACGACCTTCAAACACAAGGGCAGATAATGAAACAAGACAAGGAAGCCTTCTATAAAGATGCTAAGAGAAGCCACGACCCGGGCATTGGTTAGATATCAGAGATAATTAGAAGAACATTCTCTTCTCCAAACAACGAGTGAAAGATATAGAAAAGATAGCAAGACAGAACAATTTGTATTTGAATTTATATAAATAAAGGGCGAGATAAGCCCAGGCCTTAATACTTTGTTATACATTTTTTGTTTGTTTAGGGGGCGACATAAGCCTACCCCACAAAAAACAAAACAAAAAAACAATGTCACTGATAAAAAGTCATAAAGGACCCCAAAAATGACTAGTGTAAAACAATTCAAACAGGAAAACCAACGGTCTAATCTAAATTACAAGTTCATTTAGTTTGAATCCTTATATCTAACCAAGGAATTGTATATTTAAAAGGAATGGAAACGCGGCTCCGAGATCAACATGATCAATCGGGACTCCCGCGGAGCGGTAATTCATGTCCGTCTCGGTCGGAAGTATGATAACTAATACAAAGAATCACAACGGATGTCCATTTCCCGTTATATTTATCGGTCATCTAAATCCACAGAGTCATCTTCCCTGAGAAGATATAAAGGAGGATAAAAACAAAGACAAGTAGAAACTACTCTTCCGTGTAAAAGGAAATCCCTTAGGTGTAATTGTAATGCCTTTTCGACCTATTTTTGCAATAAACTTTAAATAAAAAGACATATTAAACTAGACCTCGTTCGTCAAATTTGCGATAGTCTCATCCGGATTACAAAATAAAAAATACAGTGTTTTGATTTTATTCTAAAGGCTCGACAACCATGATACAATTCCTTGATCGATCTAACCTTCTAAATGTTAAAAACGTTTGGTAGATATCTTTTTTTGTGTGTGTATTACATATTTTCTAAAAGTATTATTTAAAAAAAATATCCATGCATATGATATATACATTTAGGTTCAACTACATGTTACGATAATCAATTGAATATATTTCAATATTGAGGCACATGTTACAATTTCAAATGGCACGTGTATTCAATAAACGTGTCTTTAGTTACAAGTTTATACCAAAGTAACAAGATCAATGTTATCGCCAGAAATGTTAACTGTTACTAAAGCGCTAACTAATATTTGAAATAAATATCTTATATATAAAGTTTTACATATTTCAAAACATTTCGTTTATTGACTTTATTCCTATATAATATCTCATAGGTGCTTTAATTTTGAATTTTAGACATTTCTCGTGACCTCTACCGCCTTACAGTAAAAGGTCAATGGGGCTGTTTCAACCTAGAAATGAAACACATATAAATCTTCCACGAGGTACGAAGTGGCATACATACAAACCTTCCATGAGGTACGAAATGGCATACATATAAATCTTCTATGAGGTACGAAATGGTATACATATAAATCTTCTATGAG